GGCCGCCCCAATCTCTTTTTCAGTGCTTCACCACAGAGGCAGCCCTCCATACCAGGACTTCCTTTCACTCCAAAGTGGTTGGGATGTGTCAGGCCCAGCGCACCGGCACTGTGGGGTACGTAGCGCTTGCCCACTGGAGAGGAAAAGGCGGCGGGGGGGGGGAGACACAAAAAGAAGGCTCAGGCACGCACGCACAGCGCAAGACGAGAAGGACGCCTTGCCGGGTTCCCATCCCCCGCCGCTGCGCCTGCCCCTCTTGCTTCTCCGGTGACTCAGGGAAGCTGGGAGTCCCCCTCCTGGCGGCGGGGGCTGTGCCGGAACACGTTGAGGACTTGTCATAGAGCTTGCAAAAAAAGTCCAGCGGTAATCTCAGCTTTTGATTTATTTATTTTTACTGCATATTTTCTTGGGACAGACGATTTTTTAAAAGAAGTCACCAGGTCTTTAGTTTAGACAGAATCACACTGTTGGCCCAGTCATCGCTGTGTATTACGATCAGGGGTCATTTTGTAGAAAAAGAGGTGCAGGAGCTCATTAGCATAACTCATTAGCATAACTTATTTGCATATGCCACACCCCCTGACATCACCGGAAGTGTGTCAGAAGGCAACACCCACCGCTCAGGCTCCACTGGATTGTTTTGGATTGCTAGCTATTAGGTGGGGGGGGGTGCAGATCTGTCCTCACAGAGGAGGGAGAGCTTGTACCTGAATAAAACTTGGTCTTAAAGGTGCCACTGGACTGTTTTGGACCAGGGGCCAGGGAGAGCTCTGCAACTTACCTGGCTGCTTCTTGCTCTGACTGAGGGCTGCTGGGAGCAGGGGGTGGGGCTTGTTGCATGTGCCCACCCCCTAGGCTCTTTACTGCCGGAGCTCCGCTCCTGTGCGCTCCTGCAGGAAATGACCCCTGGGGTTGCCGACTCCGGGTTTGGAAATACCTGGACATTTCAGGGTGGAACCTGGGAGAGTGGGGTTTAGGCAGGGGAGGGGCCTTGGTAAGATATCACACCATGCAGTCCACCTTCCAGCGCAGCCATTTTCTCCAGGAGAAGTGGAATAAGTGTTTTAAATAAATAAATCATAAATAAATAAGTGATGTATGTGGTCTGGAGGTCAGTCGTGATTCTGGGAAATCTCCAGCCCCCACCTGGAGGTTGGCAACCCTAGCTGGGTTTTAGATGTGATGATGAAGAAGAAGAAGAAGAGATTGGATTTAAACCCCACCCGTCGCTCAGAGTCTCAGAGCAGCTTACAGTCTCCATTCCCTTCCCCTCACCAGAACAGACACCCTGTGAAGTAGGTGGGGCTGAGAGAGCACTGAGAGAACAGCTCCGAGAGAACTGTGACTGACCCAAGGTCACCCAGCTGGCTGCATGTGGAGGAGTGGAATCAAACCCGGTTCTCCAGATTAGAGTCCGGCCACTTAACTGCTACGCCAAACTGGCACAAGTCCAGCCATGTTCCATTGAAAAGGGCCTCTGGAAAGGTGCTGGCAGAACATGAAAGCAGTGGCCCAGCCTCAGTAGTTTCTCCCTAGCACCTGGTGTTCGTAAGTAGACTGCCCCTGAACATGGAGGTTCCATTTCATGATCAGTAGTCTCTGTGACTTGGGTCCCACTAAGACACCCCACCAAGACCTCAATTCCTGAAGTCATTGATGGGGCCTTGTCCCAAACCAGTTGCCAGTGAGTGTTGCTGGGAGGCCCTAAAGTCTGGTGAGGGAGACACACCTTGGCTTGAGGTCCAAGACCAGCCTCGGGAGCATCATTGGCAAGAGTCCTCCTGGCCGAGAAAGCCCTAAAGTCCGTTCACACATGAAGCTGCCTTACAGTGAATCGGACCCTGGGTCCATCAAGGTCTGTATTGTCTACTCAGACTCTGGGTCTTTCACATCCCCTGTGACCTGTTGAACTGGAGATGCCAGGGACTGAACTTGGGACCTTCTGCATATCGAGCAGAGGCTCTTCCACTGAGCCAGGGTCCGGCTGGCTGCTTTTCGCCTTCTGCTTCTGGGAACGGCTCTTCTGTCCTCCCAAGACAAGCTGATCAGGTTGATGTTTTTTACTCAGCAGGTTTAAGATATCCAAGATCATCGTGGTGGGCGACCTCTCGGTGGGCAAAACCTGTCTGATCAACAGGTAACCCCCTGGGCGGTTTGGGGCGGGGAGCTCAGAGGGAGACCTTTGAATGTCAGTGGGGCAGGGAGGGAGGGGGCTGGAGGATTCCTCTTGTCTGCGAGAGAACTGAGAGGCCAGCCTGGGCCTAAACCTCCTTGCTTGCGGGGCTGAGGCATTCAGTCTCCTTGGCCTGGCCTCCTACGCCCCTTCATGAATTGATTTTCTAAATGTTTAGAAGAAGAAGAAGAAGAGATTGGATTTATACCCCGCCCTTCACTTGGAGTCTCAGAGGGGCTTACAAACTCCTTTCCCTTCCCCTCCCCACAACAGACACCCTGTGAGGCAGGTGGGGCTGAGAGAACTCTGACACAGACTGCTCTTTTTCCAGGACAGCTGTGCCAGAGCTTGTGACTGACCCAAGGTCACATCAGCAGGTGCAAGTGGAGGAGTGGGGAATCAAACCCGGTTCTCCCAGATTAGAGTCCGTGCACTTAACCACTACACCAAACTGGCTCTCAGTTTAGCGCTGGCTTTCTAAAGCAACATCAATCAGTTGCGAAACAGTATACACAAACCATTATGCTAAGTTTTAAAAAGCTAAGTTTTAATCGCGGTATAAGCTTCCGTGTACAAGCACACTTCCTCAGATACAGTGGGTATGTGGAAGTGTGCGTGCACACGAAAGCTTATACCCAGAATTAAACTTTGTTGGCCTTAATGGTGCCCCACTGGACTCAGACTTTGTCCTGTTGCTTCAGACCAACACGGCCACCCACCTGAATCTATCTGAAGAAGTGTGCATGCCCACAAAAACATATACCCAGAATTAAACTTTGTTGGTCTTAAAGATGCCACTGGACTCGAACTCTGTTCTGCTGCTTCAGACCAACAGGGCTACCTTACCCGGATCCATCATTTAAAAAAAGAGACTGACTAAAACCCTTGAATAAGAAATCAGTTTTTAAAAATTCAAAAATAATTTTTTTATAGCCATATGAGCTAGAAACTTGGATGGGGCAGGAAAGCAGGGGGTGGCTCTTTCGGGCAGTCCTGAATAATTGGGTGAGCAGAAGCCGAATTCCAGGGTCTCATCTTCTCTTTTGTCTCCCCAGGTTTTGCAAAGACTCCTTCGACAAAAACTACAAGGCCACCATTGGAGTGGACTTTGAGATGGAACGCTTTGAGGTGTTGGGGGTCCCGTTTAGCCTGCAGCTGTGAGTATGGAAACCTTTGCCCGCTTTGGGCACCTCTCCTGGGGGCCTTCTTGCCACGGGGAGACCATCCCGACTGCTGCAGCCCCTCGTGGGGCTTTGAGCTAATGGGCTGCGTCTTCACCCTGCGACAGGTGGGATACGGCTGGCCAGGAACGCTTCAAGTGCATTGCGTCCACCTACTACCGAGGAGCACAAGGTGAGGTGCCAGCAGAGAGATTCGTGTGTGTGTGTGTTTAATTGATTCCTGGCTCATGCTTAGAGATTTGCCTAAAACTGCTGCTCAGCTCAGTCAAATGGCTGTGAAAATAGTTTGTATGTTTACTGAGGGATACATAGCTGGCTGGAGGGGACCAAAAGGTCTTCCGAAGAAAAAGAAGAGCTGATTTTTATACTCCGCTTTTCTGTAGCCGAAGAGGTCCCAGAGCGGCTTACAACTGCCTTCCCTTCCTCTCCCCACAACAGTCACCTTGTGAGGTAGTTGGGGCTGAGAGAGTTCTGATGGAACTGGGAGTGGCCCAAGGTCATCCAGCTGGCTTCATGTGGAGGAGGGGGGGGAATCAAGCCTTGTTCTCCAGATTAGAGCCCACGGCTCTTAAGTGCTACACCACCAAAGAGTGAGTCCTGGTGACTGTCTTCTCCATGAGGGGCAGAGAAGACCCACAAGTACGCATGAGGCTGCCTTAAACTGGTCCATCAGGGTCAATATTGTCTACTCAGACTGGCAGCAGCTCTACAGTTTGGTGTAGTGGTTAAGTGTGCGGACTCTAATCTGGGAGAACCGGGTTTGATTCCCCACTCCTCCACTTGCACCTGGCTGGATGACCTCGGGCAAGCCATAGTTCTGGCACAGCTGTTCTTGAAAAAGAGCCGTTTCTGTCAGAGCTTTCTTGGCCCCACCTCCCTCACAGGGTATCTGTTGTGGGCAGTGTTCCCTCTAAGCTGAGTTAGTGTGAGCTAGCTCAGTTTTTTAGCCTCTGGCTCACACATTTTGGTCTTAGCTCAGGAAGGACGGATCCAGAGCAAACTAATTTATGCAGCAACCCAATCGCTTGCTCACAACTTTCATGCCAGCAGCTCACAAAGTAGAATTTTTGCTCACAAGACTCCACAGCTTAGAGGGAACATTGGTTGTGGGGGAGGGGAAGGGAAAGGAGTTTGTAAGCCGCTATGAGACACCTTTGGGTAGTGAAGGGCAGGGTATAGATCCAATCTCTTCTTCTCTCTGAGCCCCACCTACCTCACAGGGTGGCTGTTGTGGGGAGGGGAAGGGAAAGGAGTTTGTGAGCCGCTCTGAGACTCCTTTGGGTAGTAAAGGGCCATGGGGTATAACTCCAATCTCTTCTCTCTCAGCCCCACCTACCTCACAGGGTGGCTGTTGTGGGGAGGGGAAGGGAAAGGAGTTTGTGAGCCGCTCTGAGACTCCTTTGGGTAGTGAAGGGCCATGGGGTATAAATCCAATCTCTTCTTCTCTCTCAGCCCCACCTCCCTCACAGGGTGTCTGTTGTGGGGAGGGGGAGGGAAAGGAGTTTGTAAGCTGCTCTGAGACTCCTTTGGGTAGTGAAGGGCCATGGGGTATAAATCCAATCTCTTCTTCTCTCTCAGCCCCACCTCCCTCACAGGGTGTCTGTTGTGGGGAGGGGGAGGGAAAGGAGTTTGTAAGCTGCTCTGAGACTCCTTTGGGTAGTGAAGGGCCATGGGGTATAAATCCAATCTCTTCTTCTCTCTCAGCCCCACCTCCCTCACAGGGTGTCTGTTGTGGGGAGGGGGAGGGAAAGGAGTTTGTAAGCTGCTCTGAGTCTCCTCTGGGTAGTGAAGGGCCATGGGGTATAAATCCAATCTCTTCTTCTCTCTCAGCCCTACCTACCTCACAGGGTGTCTGTTGTGGGGAGGGGGAGGGAAAGGAGTTTATAAGCCGCTCTGAGACTCCTTTGGGTAGTGAAGGGTGGGGTGTAAATCCAGTCTCTTCTTCTGCAGCATGTCAGGTGGAGGTCTTTTGCATCATTTACCACCTGATCCTTAACTGAGGATGCCGGAGATTGAGCCTGGGACCTTCTACAAACCAGGCAAATGTTCCACCACTGAGCCACGGCCCCTCCCAGTTCTACCTAGACAATGGCCCTGGAGGGACAGGAGGCTGCCGAGTAAGGAGACAGTGTGGGGGAGGAGTCCTTTTGCTTGGCAAGTTGAGGAGGAGGAGGAGGATTGAGACCAGAGGGACAACAGGGAGACGTCTGGACAGGTCACACAGCTCCTTAATGCTTGGGGGCGGCTGCGGCTCAGCGGCAGAGCATCTGCTTGGCATGCAGAAGGTCCCAGGCTCAATCCCTGTGTATCCAATTAAAGGATCTGGCAGGAGGTGACGTGAAAGACCTTTAGCTGAGACCCTGGAGAGCTGCTGCCAGTCTAAGTAGACGGCACTGACCTCGATGGACCAATAGTCCGATTCAGCATAAGGCCGCTTCATGCGTCATGCGTCCTTCAGGAGGAGGGGGCTCCATGACAGAGCGTCTGCTTGGAAGGTAGAAGGTCCCAGGTTCAACCCCGGCATCTCCAGTTAAAAGGAGGAGATAGTAGGTGATGTGAAAGACTTCCGCCTGAGCCCTTGCCGGTCTTTCCCTATGAAGGAAGGTTAAAACGCTTGGGGCTCTTTAGCTTGGAGAAATGACAGCTGAGGGGTGACATGGAGGTTTATAAGATGATGCATGGGACAGAGCGGTTAGAGAAAGAAGTACTTTTCTCCCTTTCTCACAGTACAAGAACTTGTGGGCACTCCATGAAATTGCTGAGCGGTCGGGTTAGAACAGATCAAAAGAAGTACTTCTTCACCCAAAGAGTGATTAACACATGGAATTCACTGCCACAGGAGGTGGTGGCAGCTACAAGCATGGACAGCTTCAAGAGGGAATTAGATAGGCATATGGAGCAGAGGTCCATCAGTGGCTGTTAGCCACAAGATATAGATAGGAACTACAGGCTGGGGCAAGTGATGCTCTGTATTCTTGGTGTTTGGGAGGGGCAACAGTGGTAGGGCTTCTAACGTCCTGGCCCCACTGCTGGACCTCCTGATGGCACCTGGTATTTTTGGCCACCGTGTGACAGAGTGTTGGACTAGATGGGCCATTGGCCTGATCCAACATTGGCTTCTCTGATGTTCTTATGAGTAGACAGTGCTGAACTTGATGGATTGGTGGTCTGATTCTGGTGTTCATGTGTGTGTACTTTAATTTTTCCTTTGCCGCAAGTGCAGTCAACAGGTCTTTGCTTGCTCAACGTTTTGTTTTCTTTGGGAATCAGTAACATTAATAAGCTAAGAAACAGTTAAAAAATTCAACGTGTGCGGTTGCTGTTCTTTCCACTCCTGCTTAGATGCTGAGTTTGGTATATGCAAACTAGAGAAGAAAGAGGGAGATCTCCTGGGCAAGGCTCCCTCTAAGCTGTGGAGTCCTGTGAGCAAAAATTCTACCTTGTCAGCTACTGGCATTAAAGTTGTGAGCGAGCAATTTGGCTACTGCATAAATTGGTTTGCTCTGGAGCCATCCTTCCTGAGCTAGGACAAAAGTGTGAGCTGGAGGCTAAAAAACTGTGAGCTAGCTCACACTAACTCAGCTTAGAGGGAACACTGGTCCTGAGGAAGGTAAGAATGACTCATTGATTCCGTGGCTCAGCTTGCACGTGTATAAGTGTATAAAGATAATAGTGTTACCTAATAAGTTTAAGTAATAGATGAAAGATGAAATGGAAAACAAAAAATATGGGAGGGAGGTTGGAGCACTGCGGGAAGCCAGAAGAGGGGGAGGATAGGGGTAGAAAAGGATATAAACTGACTGAATGAATGTTATATTGTTTGATTTGATATTATATCCTAATAAAATTCTTTTCAAAAAAAAAAAAATCACACATGCACCCCAATCCCATGTTATCCATGGGCCAGGGACAGAGTATGCTGTATCCCTCTGGAAATATGTCCCTCACCTGTGATGCCCCCATTTCTGTTTCTGCAGCCATCATTCTTGTATTTGACGTGAACGACGGGCCGTTCTTGACCCCGCCAGGTGCGGGGTCTCTGGGGGGGGGGGGGATGTGGGATGCTGACTGAAATCCTGGGTATGGTGCAATGTTCCCTCTAAGCTGAGTTAGTGTGAGCTAGCTCACAGTTTTTTAGCCTCCGGCTCACGCATTTTTGTCTTAGCTCAGGAAGGATGGCTCCAGAGCAAACTAATTTATGCAGTAGTCAAACTGCTTGCTCACAACTTTAATGCCAGTAGCTCACAAAGTAGAATTTTTGCTCACAAGACTCCACAGCTTAGAGGAAACCTTGGTATGGTGGGAAATGCGTTGAGGAGAAGCGGAGCAGGCTTGTTGTTACAAGTCTGACTGGACCAATTTTCTCTCTAGGCTGTGGAGTCTTGTGAGCCAAAATTCTCCTTTGTGGGCTACCGGCATTAAAGTTGTGAGTGAGCAATTTGGCTGCTGCATAAATTAGCTTGCTCTGGAGCCCTCCTTCCTGAGCTAAGACACAAATGGGTGAGCCGGAGGCTAAAAAAATGTGAGCTAGCTCACACTAACTCAGCTTAGAGGGACATTGGCTCTGGACTCATTTCTTTTCCAGAAGTCAATACAAATGAGAATTAGTGAGAAATCCAAGTTGATTACTTCACAGCTTGGCTGGGTTTTAGAGCCCTTTTATCCCCCCCCCCCCGGCACCCTCCCTCACTGAGGAAATTCATTTATTTGGAATGCCAGTTCAAAGCAAATAATGGTTTTTCCAAGCAAGTTATAGTTAGGGTTGTCTCTATATTCTGAAAATTAATAAAAACCCTTGGAGGATGAGAAAGATCCAGCGTATTGTTGTTATAATATTAAAGGCTGTAAAACATTTTGTTGCCTTTTGAAGCATGGCTAAGTTCTTTCTTCCCCACCCCCCCGCACCACCTTGAGTATTTATTTAGAAAGATAACTTAAAACTTGACTTGGAAACATGCTTGTTTCTCCCAGTTTGGTGTAGTGGTTAGGAGCGCGGACTGGGAGAACTGGGTTTGATTCCCCACGCCTCCACATGGCAGCTGCTGGTGTGACCTTGGGTCAGTCACAAGTTCTTTCAGATCTGTTCGCTCAAGAGCAGTTCTCGAGAGAGCTTTCTCAGCCCCACCTCCCTCACAGGATGTCTGTTATGGGGAAGGGAAGGGACAGGAGTTTGTAAGCTGCTCTGAGCCTCCTTCGGGTAGTGAAGGGTGGGGTATAAATCCAATCTCCTCTTCTTCTTCTTCTTGCAGGCAGTGGCTGGCAGATGCCCTGAAAGAGAACGATCCTTCCAGCGCCATCCTCTTCTTAGTGGGCACCAAGAAGGATCTCAGTGTAAGAGGGCAGGGGGCAAAGAGGACACCCCCCCCCCGCTGCAACCCAGCATGCAGGATTCTTAGGGCATGAGCCCTAATTGGTCCTGAGCAATGTTCCCTCTAAGCTGTGGAGTCTTGTGAGCAAAAAATTCTACTTTGTGAGCTACTGGCATCAAAGTTGTGAGCAAGCGATTTGGCTACTGCATAAATTAGGTTACTCTGGAGCCCTCCTTCCTGAGCTGAGACAAGAATGTGTGTGCTGGAGGCTGAAAGACTGTGAGCTGGCTCACACTAACTCAGCTTAGAGGGAACACTGATCCTGAGTAAGGGAAGAATGACTCATTGATTCCTGTTTGTCTCTTGCCTTGAAAATCCTCTGGGATTTCCACAACTTGGCTGTGACTTGATGGCCCTGGATGGCACTTTACACACATGCCCAGTGTCATGCAGCCCAGGCTATCCTATGCTTACCCAATCTTGGAAGCTAAGCAGGGTTGGCTCTGGTTGGTCCTTGGACAGGAAATCACTGGAGAAGTCCAGAGTTGCTACACAGAGGTCCCGGTCACACGGGCAGGAAAATGCGGGGGGGAAACGTGACTGTTAGCCCCGGAGCTAAAAACCGTGCGGTTGCTTGAGCAGACCTACTGATGGAGGTCCCGTGGTAGGGGGGAGGTGCCGATCACTCCACAGTCATGCGGCGCGGCAAAGAAGCGGGGCGCGGGGCAAACGGGATTGGTTTTTTTTAAAAACCTCAAATGTGCGCATGCTCCCTTGGGTGCTTGTGCGCATCCGTGGAGACTTGGGGGGGGGGGAACCTTTTTCCGAGGGGACATGGGCGGGCGCCGGAACTACCACCGGAAACGCGATCAGACGCTCGCCCTTGCCCCGCGGTTTCAGGAAACTAGTACCTCCGAGGTACTAGTTTTTTACCGTGCATCTTCCGTGGGAAGCCTCGGGTTCGCCACAGGAGCTCGACGCTTCCCAGATGTGGCGGTGAGATCGCGCCCGGAAAGTCCGCCTATCTTCCGTCCCTCTAGCATGCCTATTGCTCCGTGTGACCACAGCCTGATTTATGCAGGAGCCAAATCACTCGCTCACACAACTTCCGTGTCAGTAGCTGACAAAGTAGAAGTTTTGCTCACAAGACTCCACCGCTTAGAGGGAGCATTGGTCAGGTGACGTGAGAGACCTCTGCCTGAGACCCTGGAGAGCCCCTGCCAGTCTGAACAGACAATGCTGACCTAGATGGGGCCAGGGGTCTGAGTCAGTA